TCTTATAACAACAAGTGACAGGTCTCTTTATTTGAGCAACCTGTACTTCCCCAGTAAGTATGTTAGTTCTCAGTGAAGATTGTTTGAAATGACTCCATGGATGACAAGTCTTTTCAATATGATAGGGAAATTTTGTTGTGAAATGACTCCAATGGATGGAAAGTATTTTCAATATGATAGAGACAGTTCATTGTGAAATAACTCCAATGGATGGCAAGTCTTTTCAATATGATAGAGACAGTTCATTGTGAAATATCTCCAATGGATGACAAGTCTTTTCAATATGATAGAGACAGTTCATTGTGAAATGACTCCAATGGATGGAAAGTCTTTTCAATATGATAAAGGTAGTTTATTATGAAATCTTTACAAGTGACATTCTCTTTATTTGAGACAACTTGTATGTTACCCTTTCTAGGAAAAACATCTTGGTTAAAGAAGAAATCGAGACCGGTTCGTAGCTTATGGTCAGGATCGAGAGGAAGTTTATTTGATTCTCCATCAAATGGAATCTCTTCGAAAAATTGTCCCATAGAAGTATGTCGTGAAATATTTATAAGTGGCAATCTCTTTATTTGAGACAGCTTGTATGTTATCCTTTCCAGGTGAAACATCTTGGTTAAAGAAGAAACTGAGACTGGTTCATGGCTTATGGCCAGGATCGAGAAAATTTTTATTTGATTCTCCATAAAATGGAATCTCTTCGAAAAAGTCTCGCAGAGAAGTTTGTTGTGAAATATTTATAAATGACAGTCTTTTTATTTGAGACAGCTTGTATGTTACCCTTTCCAAGTGAAACATCTTGGTTAAAGAAGAAACTGAGACCGGTTCGTGGCTTATGGTCAGTATTAAGAGGAAGTTTATTTGATTCTCCATCAAATGGCATCTCTTCGAAAAACTCTCGCAGAGAAGTTTGTTGTGAAATATTTACAAGTGGCTGTCTCTTTATTTGAGACAACTTGTATGTTACCATTTCCAGGTGAAGCATCTTGGTTAAAGAATAAATTGAGACCGGTTTGTGGCTTATGTCCAGGATTGAGAGGAAGTTTATTTGATTCTCCATCAAATGGCATCTCTTCAAAAAAGTCTCAAAGAGAAGTTTGTTGAAAAATCTTTACAAGTGGCAGTCTCTTTATTTGAGACAGCTTGTATGTTATCATTTCCAGGTGAAACATCTTGGTTAAAGAAGAAATTGAAACCGTTTCATGGCTTATGGTCAGGATCGAGATGATTTTTATTTGATTCTCCATCAAATGGAATCTCTTCAAAAAAGTCTCGCATTGAAATTTGTTGTGTAATCGTTACAAATGGCAGTCTCTTTAATTGAGACAACTTGTATATTTACCCTTCCAAGGCGAGATGCCTTGGTTAAAGAAGAAATCGAGACCCGTTCTAGGTGAAATACCAGATTCGAGAAAACTTTTCATTATCCATAAAAATTCTACCTTCAATAAAAGTCAGTATTATTCTATTTTTTCTACCTTCATCTATTGAGTCGGTAGTTCACAATTATCCAACGATCGTTATTATCCATTGCCTTTTCCTCACTTATTGAGTTAGTAACGCTTTGTCTCCTCTTTAGTATTCACCCCAGTAGAGGTGGGGTTACTTTTTCCCAGCGAAGTTGACTTTCCTCTAATGGAGCTGAGTTTCTCTCCCCCGATTGAACCACTTTTCCCAAAGTCGTATTTGTTCCCCAGTGGTTTATTTTCCTGGTCGAACGCTCTTTCTGATGCTTGGTTTTATTTTATGCTTCCCTAGTGGTGTTCTATGTCACCTTTGGAGTTGTTTATTTGCATTCATAATCAATAGCATTTCATGGCATCTTAGGGCCAAAAATAGGGCTTGTTTTATATTTAAGTATCTCTGATTGCGTCGAGACAAAGATTTTAACCTTCATGTCTCCGGATAGAAGAAACTTAAATAAGGACAGCTATTATACCCTAATTTGTGCCCCTAAGATTTCTCATCATCTCATTTTTATCAATACATCGAAATCACGCACTGGGGTTGGTTCTTGAGGGATTACCATCTTTAAGTTTGCTCTTGAGGGATTACCAAGCACCCTAATTATGCATCTTGTATACATGTGTTTTATATCTTACTGACCTCTCACCAAAACCCAAAATATGTCTTGTTTATTTTTGTTTCTCTTAGAAGACAGGGTTTTCGATCAAGGATTTCAGGTGATGGCTCTCCGATTAGGGTTGTGGTTTTGTTCAGGATAAAGATGTTTCCCAAAAACCTATGTTTCAGAGTGGTGATCTATAATCTTAGGTCACACTACCCTCAAGCTTCATTCAACATAGTTAAGGCGAGTTTGGTTGCTTAATTCTCTAAATTCTTCGAGATAGGTTTGTGTGTTTATTTCCATGCCTTCTTTGACGAATAATCTCAAAGTCCAGACAGGTGTGAGCATGGTTTCATCAAAATTTCATCATCTCAGGTCCATATGTGATTAAGAGTGCTTCGGATTGTGAAGAAAGGTGAAGTCTGCAGTTAATTCAAAGTTGGTTGACTGGAGGCCAATGATTACAATTTTGAGTTTAAATAATCATAACTTCTTCATTATTCAGTATTTTTGGTTGATTCTTCGAGCATATGAGTCTCATTGACATCATTTCCAACTTCTCTTTTCAAGTCAAGAGATGATTAGTGTAGAAGGCCATCAAAAGTTTGAGTATATTAGAGTTTGTTTTGAGGACTTTGACCTATTTTCAGAGTTTCAGTCGTCCAACTTCCGATGATCATAACTCTTTCAATTTCCATTGTTGTGGGATAATTCCTTTTGTAATATGTCACAAATGGCATTGTCTACAAGTTTGTTTCAAGGAGCGAGATTGGATTGTACTCGGAAAGCCACAAAATTTATTGAAACTTTACGGGTCACTTTTGACTTAGTACTTCCATAACCTCTAATTTTAATTCATACCATGGCTACTTTATTAAAGTGTTGATTGCTTGCGTTTAGGCATACCATGGCTACTTTATTAAAGTGTTGATTGCTTGCGTTTAGGCTTTTAGACACCAAATTCTTGAACATTTATTCCGTTTGAAACATTTGATTTAAATTAAGGTGAGAAGATAATTACACGGAGTTCAAAATACAATTCTAATCTCATTCATGTAAATTATTTTGAAAAAAAAACAACAAATTCTCATCCAAAATTGTCAAGGCATGTAATTCTAATCTCATTCATGTAAATTATTAAAGTGTTGATTGCTTGCGTTTAGGCTTTTAGACACTAAATTCAATGATGTTCGAGAATTTTCAAAGGTTTTAAATCATATGATGCTTTCTCCAAGTTCAGAAGAAACTCCAATTAGAAGTGAAAAGTTTATTATAAAGCATTAACATTCATGATTCAAGCTCCATTTTCAAATTCAAAAGGTGGAGGGAATTTAAAAATTACAAGGCAAGGTTAATTCTCAAATTCAAGTTTCTAAGCATTTCAAGTCCTTTTCATCAAGGAAAATTCAAAGAGATCTCAAAACATTATTCAAGATTTAACTTCATTAATTATTCATCATTCAATCTTTCCAAAGTTTTTTCAAGTCCAATTCAAGGCTTTTCACAAATATTACAAAGAAACTATGTGCTCTAAAAGTTGTAATGGCCTATAATTCCCAAACCTAAATTGCGAATGGCCTTCAACACATACAAAATCTTCATTAGTGTCACATGAAGTTTAAGACCTCCATGAGAAGTAAGCTCCCAAGAACTTTTTGATGTTTTCCTCTCTTCCTTATCCAACCATCATATCTTCATATGATCAAGTACCCATACACATGAAACAAAGAAAGAAGAAGTGGTTAGAACAAGAAACAAAGCTTGAGCATTAACAAAAATTTCCAAATAAAGGTTTCTTTACAATTTCATCATTAGAGTTTTTTGCAAGGAATCATAAATTCAAGGGATTGCATCCAATCATGTTCAAGTCCAACAAAAAGGCCTCATACTTTTTCTTAGCGATTCAGATTCAAGTGTTAATCATAGGCCAAAGAAACCTCTACTGCAAATCACAAAAAAAAGGTTGAAATTTTGGTTCACAATAGAGGTGAAAGGGACATTCACAGCATAGCAAACTCAGTAAAAAAACTCATATTTTTCATCATAGTTCAAGCAAGTAAGAAGTGCAATTCCATCCCATTAGCAAAATAGAATTCAGCGAGCCTGTTATCATACATTAGAAAAAATAACAAAAATAGAATCACAAATTCCGGCCCAACATTCAAAGCCTCATATTTGTTCATTTCAAAATCAGAATTACAATAATTCAATCCTGGGCCTAACTCTTACTACAAATCACAAACATGTATGATTCACAGTAAGAAAAATCAAAGAGGCAAAGTTGCTGCAAACTCAGTAAAATGCCACAAAATCATTGTTACAGTTTGCAGCAAAAACAAAGTCAAAAATCAGATTTCAAGCCCAACAAGCAAATCATTATAACAAACAGACTTTCATCCGCAAAAGAAATAATAAAGCAACAAATTAGAAGCCCAATACAAAGCCTCTTAACCCGCAGATAAAACATCTCAGATATAACATATAAAAAAAAAACCAAAATGGAGTTCAAGTAAAGTCTGTAAACGAATTACAAGTTCCAATCACAGACACCCCATTTCTGATTAGGCTATATAAACATTCAATTGGTACAAGTTTGAAAAAGACGTTTCATACGCATAAAAAACCCCAACCGAGTATCATCATTTTCCCATACACACAAAACCCCTCAGAAAATTGAAAGGAGAAAAAGATTTCGAAATCACAGAAGAAGAAGATACAAGAATCAGAAAGCTCTCGCCGATTTCTTATGTGATATAAACGCTAGGGTTCCAAAACCCCTTTCAAGATCTATGCTCAATCATTGATCCCATGCGAAATCAAAGGCTAGTTTAGAGACGAGGAAGAAAAGACGAAGCTATTGACGTAAAAAAAATAGAAATTGGAGCAAGTTGCGGAAGCACCGTCGCCAGCTTCATCGTTGCCGCCGTACTCATCTTTCTCTCCGCCCCACTTGTTCTTCTCTCTCGACATTTATAGAAGGTAACAGGGAGATGTGAAGAGTGTTATGATAATAGTAAAAAGAAGAGAGAATGGATGTTCTTCTTTCACAGAATAAAAGAAATGCTACAATATGTAATATAAAACGTTTTTTTTCTTTTAATTTTGTTTTGATAAAACCCATTATTACTGGTGTTTTGTTACTCGGGATCCGCGCGGCTATCCGGTGAGTGATGAGTGGTTTTGGTGCCACTTGTCCTCATCGTAGATGATGATGATTACAAATTGATTCCATGTCTGCATATGTACCGTGTTATCATGGGCCTACAAATCTGAACCTCTTGATGACATTACTGCACAAGGTTTTACCAGATCTAATGTCTATAGATTTTCTATTTTAATTTCTTCTTTACTATTGCAATTTTAATTTGTTTTTTAACTTCAAAAATTCACAATAAATTCAATTTTTGTTTAAAAATCATGAAAAAATTCACAAAAATTATTTTTTTTTATTTCTTACTTTCTAGAATTTTATTTTAATTTTTGTTATTTGTAATCATTTTTTACTTATTTGAGTAATTTTAATTAATTTAAAATTACTTTTCTGTAAAAAAAATTACCAAAATTGTTATGAAAATATTTCAGATCAATCTTGACTTTTCTACGGTTTCTTTATAATTTTTCTTTGATATCGTGAATATAGTTTGTTGTTTGGTCTTTTATTTTCATTTTTTTTAAATTAAAAAAATCATTTTCTCATCAAACGCAAATATATTTTCTGGCTGATCTTGAACTATAAATTTTTTAATCATGAGCTTCATTAATATCATTGGATCTTAGGTGTTGAGTTTAACTCCACTAAAATGGATGAATGATTTTAATAATAGTTTGATTAAGTTCTTTGATTCAAATGTGGAATTCAACTCTTATTTATATTTTCTTCATCTTATTTCTTTTTGACTTTTCTTGTGCTATGAGTTTCATGAGTGTGGTTTCTATCACATCTCCAAAACTTGCGTAGTACATACATTATTATTGACCGACCTCAAAATAGGTGCGACTTCTACATAAGTTCACTTACGATTGCTTAACATAGTGCTAAACTTGTCCTGATTCGAGAAATGATCCTTCGTGGCCCAAATCTATATTTGCAAGCCCAAGTATGTTTAATTGGAAACCTTTGATCCAACAACCTTGAGATTCATTGTTAGGGGGCTTTGATCTTATCAATCCTCTAATGAACCTTCATAAACTTTGGTCTAAGCGAATCATTTAAACATCATTGATCATATGTCGTCGCTTCGAGAACTTGAAATGAATGATATACTTGACAAAAAAACAAATGAGACTTGTTGTTGAGAAGTTTTGATTTTATCAATCTTTTAATGAGTTCTCAAATGCAAGTTTCAAGATGGTCATTCAGCTAACCTCTAATTTCTAATTCACTAACAATTGACTTTTACTTTGTGCTTTTATTTTATGCTTTTACTTTATACCTTTACTTTTACGCACCATTTACTTTAGCATTTACATTTTATGCTATTTTCATATTTGCTCACTTGAGCATTTATCTTTATGTCATTTTTGTTTTACTCACTTGAGCTTTCATTTTCTTTTTGAAGACACTTAATAATCAACTTGAACAATAAAAAGCCTTAAGATTACATGGACTATTTGGTTACTATCCCTGGCATTATGGAGTTGTGGATTTCTCTAACTTAGGATTAGAAGCCTTTGATACCCTTAAGACCTTGTAGCTCTGATTGTTATTTTGTCTGGAGTTCCTGGGGTTTACCCCAAGATATTTAGTTGATTTTTCTTTGTGTGCAGGTTATTATGATTATATGCTTTGTCTGTGATTCAGAATTCCTCTGTATACAACCGTTACTCTGCCCAAATTTTGTGAAGACTTAATGCATCTAAAGCTTGGTATTTGTAGAGGTTTAGCATCTTTGCTTGCTTGGTTTTAATTCAATGAATAAGACTTCTACATTGACTCTTTATATCAAGTGTGGCTTCTTGTTGGTTAGACGATTCTTTTCCCTAGCTTTTACCTTATGTTTTAGGATAGTCCATTCATCTCCTCCCATCTTCTTTAATTCCAAAACTCTTCTCCCTCCTTTTCAAAATTGTTCTTATTTTCTAACTTGAACCGCTTTCACAATAAACTTGGACTTAGGTTCATTGCATTTTCAAAAAATATTTTCTTAAGAGAAGACCAAAAGTCAATTAACCATATTCAAACTATTTTTGCCACTTTGGCTTCTTACTTTAAAAAATTTCTTAAAAGATTAGACTCTTGTTAATTCTAGTAGTGATGCGAGCTACTATACTTCTACAATATATAGTAAAGTAAGATATTTTCCACTTGGGTGTTGAGTGAGACTTGGTTGATTTTAAAATCCAAGCTATATCCTCCACTTTGAGATGACGCAAATTCTCATTTCTCATAATTATAGGTAGTAAGTATGTTTTCCACTCGGATATGACGATTATGTCTCATCCCTTAAAATTAACCAACACACTTGTGTTTTAAAATTTTTAAAGGTGAACTATGAGTACCCTGATCCCTTATTGCATGGAAGGTGGTACATAGGCACTAAAGGTTCATAACTATGATGGGTGCAAAAATTGTAAAAAAATACTTCTCTTCTTATCTCCACCATCTATTTTTGTATACAACACTTATAACCAAAATACATAAATTTTCAAAGAGGTTCTTGCGGAGTACTGTAGATGTTTAGGGTGCTAATACCTTCCCTTTGCATAACCAACCCCCGTACCTAGATTCTCTCTCCCTCTTTCTTGGATTATTCACTCTTTTCCTATTCCTCTGGAAATAATAAAGCGCGGTGGAAATTTTTATTTGATTTGTGCGAGTTAAGTTATTCCAATGGCTTAGTCACAACATTTCTACCGTTACACAATCCATTCCCTTTTATTTTGCAGGTACGATGGACAACGCCGATGGATCAACAGATCTAGGGTTTCAAATTTTGAAACCCAGATCTTTGAACAAAGCTTTAACATCGGGAAGAGAGTTCGGCCGACTTTGATTCTTCCCCTACTTCTTCTCCTTTTTTTTGTCTTAGAGATTTTTCTTTTCCCACTTGTATTCTTAGAAAATAGGGTTTATGTAGTTTTTAGATTAGATGAATTAGGAAATTTCTTAGGTTGATTGCCGTTATATTTTTAGAGATTGTTAGAAATTAGTGATTTTGTTATAAATTAGGTTAGATTTGATTTGGATTGAGATTGTAATTTAGATTCGTTTCAGATTTGTCTTTTGTAATTCGTTGCGAATATGTGTAATAAAATCAGATTTTGTTAATATTTTGATTCAATTGAGTTTCTGAAGATTTGATTTTGTTTGTATTGATTCATTTCTTGGAAATTTGATTTGAACGATAACTGTTGATACGATTTTGATTTGAGTTTTGATATGCGTTTCTGAGCTTAGGAATGAGAATGAAGAACATGGCCAGCGACGCATTTGGGTTTGGAAGCGATGAAGATTACGGTTTCTTGCCCTAATCTTATTTTGACTAAGTCAAACATTAAAGAAAATGACAACAATATAAAATATAACTATAATAATTAAAATGAATAATTAATTAGAACAATTATAATAGTGACAACAATAATAATGATAATATTAATAATATTAATAATATTAATAATATTAATTGTAACATACGAAAGAAATAAGCAAATAATTTGATATGGTTGACTTCAGTCAACCAAATTACAATTCTAATATATCCTAACATGAACCTTCCTCTCATAATGGTCTCGTCTGAAATTTATTGGGCCTTCACAACATCCTAATGGCCCATTCTAAAAACACTAGGAGCAACAAGCCTTTATGACAAGAAGATACACCTCCTTTTTGGACTTAACGAAATAATGAAAGGCCCTCCAAAGGGTTTAATGGGACTCCTAATCCTTTTTGACAAAAAACATATACAACCCCCCCAGCTCCTAATCATAACCCCACTTTATCTAAAATACGTGACAAACAAATTAGCAATTAGACCACCAAAGTTTAAGTAACAAAATGTCCAATAAGGATAATATGATTAATGACACTAGAGGGGCAAATTTGGAGTATGACATAAGTCTCTTGATGCTATACACTTGAATACTCATCAAGGGTGTGCTTGCATGGCCTAGGTAGGAAGATAAATACTACTTTTGGATTCCTCGTATGCGGACACGAGTCTGCATGCTTGGTTATACTAACCTGTTTGTGTGATTGATGATTCTTAATTGGGTAGTCGGAGACTTCCAACTGATGTTGCATGTTTTGCTGATCTCAAATTTGGGTAGTTAAGAGACTTCCAATCTGAGGCTATGTGATGTTTGTGTTTTTCTAAACTTGATAGTGAGAAAACCCCGGATCAATGGTGGATCCATATTGATATATGTACCATGTAGAGCCGAGAGAACCCATAAGATAAGGGGAATCACTGAGATTTAGTAATCTCACCCCCAATCTTATTATCATTTTTCAGGTATGGTGGAGAAGTGAAGGAATTGCTAAAATGTCTAGATTCAAGACTTGGATGAGAAGATGGCAAAAAACCTTATCAGATTTGTTGTACCCAAAAAATTGCCCTCTCATTTCTCAAGGAATCACCCTGGATCCTCAAGTTTGCTTCCATCCAATTCCAAGCCTTGAACTGCAATTTTTCAAGAAAAGTTATTCATAAGGGTAAAATGGTCATTTTCATACTGAGAAGTCTAACTTTGACTTTTGGATCAAAATCAAATCTCAAAAATCATATTTCATCAAGACATGTTGAAATATGAAGTTTGTTTCATCAAGAATTTCAAAAGTCAAATTTTACTTTGGAAAAGTCAAATTCTAAATACTTAGAAATTTTTCTAAGTGTTTAAGAAGCATGACAAAACTCAGAACTTCTGACCAGATTATCACCATAACGCTCAGCAAATTCTGGATATTCTCAAGACAGAGTTTGGTCAGAACTTCTGGGCAAGTTTTCACAAAAGTTCAGTCAGAGTTTGCCAGGGTAATTCAAAGAAGGTTAAGAAGCGTGCTGTGAGCTTTCTAGAAAGTCTGAAATCTCCTTCAGAACATGCTGGAGCCAGAAGATAAGAGGATCAGAAGACTAGATGCTACGCTGAAGCAGAACTTCTAATCCATAGTTAAGCCAGAAGATA